TTTTCAAAGTTTGTATTATGTTCTAGACATAGCGTTAAGCCTATGTTTATATTACTTTAACCTCACAACAATCCCATAAGGTCATTTAACAGAAGAGACTTGGATTTTAATAGCTTGTTCAAGTAGTGACACTGATTTTGAATAATATTGTCTCAGGCAGTCCCTTTTGAAATCAGTGTATTATTAATCATATTAAACTTTAAAATCATCCTAAGATGCCAGGCGTGGTGGCTCATGCCTGTTTGGGAGGCCAAGGCAGGCAGATCCCCTGAGAGGTCAGGAGTTCAAGACCATCCTGGCCAACATGGTGAAATCCTGTCTCTATCAAAAATACAAAAATTTTCTGGGCATGGTGGCACACACCTATAGTCCCAGCTACTCAGGAGGCTGAGGCAGGACAATCGCTTGAACCCAGGAGATGGAGGTTGCAGTGAGCCAAGATCATACCACTGCACTCCAGCCTGACGACAGAGTGAGACTCTGTCTCAAAAAAAAAAAAAAAAAACCCTAAGAATAGCACTTCTTTCACCTGCCAACTTATGGAATTTATACCACCGGTTATTTTAGGGAGCTGGTCTCGCTATGTTGCCAGTGGATATCCACAGATACACTTATAGCTCACCGTAACCCTGAACTCCTGGGCTCAAGTGATCCTCCCTCATTGGCATTTGGAGTAGCTGGGACTACTGGTGTGTGCTACTACACCCAGCTTTGCCTGTTTTAATATATGAAAAATGTGGCATTATAACCCAAACTGGTCTGCAATAAGAAAAGTATGGAAACTAAGAGTCTTCAAAAATTTTTATAACAACATGATTATTACAATTATAATAGTAATTTTTTATATGTTGAATCTAATAACAATACATTTGGGCCTGTATTTTCTACAGTTTTTTTTTTCCACTTCATTTTCCTACTATTTATAAGTGTATTGGTATGGATTGAAATAAAAATTAAAAACAAAAACTAGGCTGGATGCGGTGGGTCACGGCTGTAATCCCAGCACTTTGGGAGGCCAAGGTGGGGGGATCACCTGAGGTCGGGAGATCGAGACCAGGCCTGACCAACGTGGTGAAACCCTGTCTCTACTAAAAATACAAAATTAGCCAGGTGTGGTGGTACATGCCTGTAATCCAAGCTACTCGGGAGGTTGAGCAGGAGAATCACTTGAATCCAGGAGGCAGAAGTTGCCCTGAGCTGAGATCGTGCCAGTGCACTCCAGCCCAGGCAACAAGAGCAAAACTCCATCTCAAAAAAAAAAAAAAAAAAACACAAAAAACAAAGAAACAAACAAAAAACCTGATCCTTTACTAGATGGGTCGGGGAATACTGCTGTAGAGCTCTGAGGCAAAAACAGCTTGCTTTCTGTCACCAGCTCTGAGACAAAGAGGAGACACATTCAGATGAGTAACAACCCTTCGACAATCAATCTGAAATCCCACTTTGGCATCTGGTTTTTCTATCATGGCTCCATTTATCAACTGGAGCACACTGAGTTTATACTAGGTAATATGGACTCTCAACCTACTTATGTAATATTGTTATTTAGAGCCAAAGAAAACTACTCACTAGCAATTGAAATCTAAAAAACATAAGACAGTGCCAACTATAAACTATTGTGTCTCACTCAGGACTTCATTTGTGTAAAGCATGCTTTGGCTTCCTTTAAAAGTTAAAAGTGTTTCTCTTTCCCATATGCCGAAAAAATCAGCATCCTGATTATCAAAGTTACTTATAATTGTATTTGAGAGTCAGATTTTTTTTCCTTTGTTTTATAAATTTTTAAGGCATGAAGGTACAGTTGCCAGGTCAAAGGGCAAGGAATAAGGTCACAAAAGTATCAAGAAAGGTAGTTTTGGGGTGAGGAAAAACTGAAAGAAATCAATGTCACATAAACCTCTTGGTGGTCATATCTGGCAGTTAGACTCCACACTACCGCAATTTCAGATTACTAGATTTTAACTCGTTTTTGAATACTAATCTTTCCATAATTGATCATCTGACTTTTATTCCTGCTCTGAGAAATTCTGAAGAAAAAGTATTGAACGAGAAAGCAGCAGCAGCAAAATTAAAAACATGAATAAAAGGCATTTCTTTTCATGTAAATCAAGCTTGTCCAACCTGTGGCTCCTGGGCCGCATGCAACCCAGGAGAGCTCTGAATGAAGCCTAATAAAAATTCATAAACTTTCTTAAAACATTATGAGGTGTTTTTGCCATTTTTTTTTAAGCTTATCAGCTATCTTAGTGTTAGAGTATTTCATATGTGGCTCGAGATAATTCTTCTTCCAATGTGGCCCAGGGAAGCCAAAAGATTGGACACCCCTGATGTAAATAAAAGTGAACTGTAAAATATTAACACTTATTTTTAAAAAAAAAGCCAGACTTCCTTAAAGAGGCAAGTCATTTATCCAGTGTAGGAGTTTGGGAAATTATTTTGTAAGGAAAGAAATTGTGCTTTCCAGTGCCCCATGAATGAAATTTATTTTGACAAATTTACCATCTCACTAGTTTCAGTATAACATTGGTCCATAATAATGGCATAATTTGCCTAGAAAAAATGTTTAGTTCCCAGGGGATAGAAATACTAGTTGAATTCTAAAATGTCTTTAAGCTATATATAACTTTCATTTTAATTCTAACAGCTCAAAATGCATTGTGTCTGCTCTAATAATAAACAGATATTATGAAATGATGATTTATAGCATTTTAAGACCTACAGCTGGAAAAGACCACTTGACCCGTCAATTTAAGAAAGCCAGAAATGGCAAGACATACTAATTATCCTTATTAATATCCCAGATAATAACACAACTCCTATAAACATTTCCTTCCAGTGAAAAAGCAAATAGTATATATCTGCATATTGTAATAATCATCCAAGGAAGTTTGAAAAAATACTGAAGTTGGTAAAGTTATAAGCATTTTATAGAAATAAAAAGTTTTACTGGTTGCTTATCAGAATAATTATTCATAATGTTACTTCAGCAAGTTAAAAAATACACAAACCAACCCAAATCTCACACATGTCAGCCTTACTAATGTCAATTCAATTCTAATACAGTTATAAGAAAATATGGTTATGTCAAAGGAAACACCACAGGTTCACAAACTACTGGGCAGGCAAGTAACCTGAATGAATGAAACAGGCTTCAAGGGCAAGGAGGACTGTGACTATCAGCTGCTACTCGGCCCAACTCAACTGTTGCCTTGAGGAAATACTGGTAAAGAACAATAATAAACTGTCTGCTAATTTAACAGTCAGCCTGCAGGCTGGATTTGGTACACAGGCTACCATGTATACCAAGAATTGGTCTGAGTCAGAAAAGCTGGATTGAAAAAATATCTGTCCCCTAATTCTAATAAACTTCATGAACCTATCCAGTCTGTACCTCACTGTTCTTTCTTTTTCTTTTTTTTTCTTTCTTTTTTTTTTTTTTTTTTTTGAGAGACGAAGTCTCAGTATTGCCCAGGCCAACTCCTGGGCTCACACAATCCTCCCACCTTATCCTCCTGAGTAGCTAGGACTACAGGTGTGCCCCGCTGCACCCAGCTTGAGTTTTTAAAGTGAAGTTAGGTAATGTATATACTTTTAAAAAAATGTTGTCATTAGATGCTGAGGGGTAGAGACAAAAAGGGAAACAGAAAAAGAGCAGCAACAATTTAAGCCTCCATTCCATCTGGCTATGGGCTTTACTTTTCCTCAAATTGACAACACCTTGTCCCACCTTCTTTCCCACCCACAGGCTATTTTCACCTGCAATGTCTCCTCTTCCTCAGGTTTCTTCAAGGTATACTTAATATTTCACTTATACCTTTCCTTTCTACTTCAGGCCATTCTACTCTCCTCTTTCCTTTGAAAGTACTTTCAGGAACGGCATTGAAACTAGGGCCTATTTTACTGCTGAACTCTAGGACAAACTCTAGGGAAATCTTGTTCCCTCTGAATGTAGTAGTTTTTCCCCCTAAATCTTTGAACACTGGGCACTTCGTGAATTCTTTATGCCTACCTAAAGGACCTATTGGAATGTTCACTGAACAGTGAGTGTTCATCTACCCCTCTTCCTGGGACCCTCGCTTAACATTTGTTCAAGGAATGCCAATCAAATTAACCAAAATGTTAAACCATATTAACCAAAAATTCATTGCTAAGCAAATAGATTTGAAACAACTTCAGAATATCAATTCCAATGCTCACATTTAAAAGGAACTGTGAGTTAAGAACAATCTAATTTTTCTTCCATTCATTCTAGTACAAGCATCCAAAAAACAAAACAGCTTTCTCAGAAAGATATGTTTGACTTTCTCAAAAAGAAGTCATCATACTGACTTCAATTCATATGGACAAATAATATTCTCCATTTCTTTTTTTTCCTTTTTTTTTTTTGAGACAGGATCTCACTCTGCCATCCAGGAATCCAGGATGGAGTGCAGTGGTCCAAAGCTGCTCATTGCAGCTTCAGCCACCTGGGCTCAAGCAATCCTACTGCCTCAGCCTCCCTAGTAGTTGGAACAACAGAAGCACACCGCCAAGTGGATAATTTTAAATTTTTGGAGGGACAGGGTCTCACCATATTGCCCAGGCTGGTCTAGAACTCCTGGGCCCAAGTGAGCCTTCCACCTTAGCCTTCCAAAGTGCTGAGATTACAGGCATGAGCCACTCCATTCATTATCTTAATAACAATATGGAACCTTGATTCCATGAAACCTCTGAGAATCAAAAGAAGTGTTATGGTGCCTCTCTCCAGGAAAATGCACAGAACCTCAAAATTTTTAAGCAATTCCAGGGGATTCAGAATACTCCAGGATCTTCAGTGGAATATCTATCTACCCCAGGTTAAGAATTCCACTGCTGAATATGAGGTTTGTTTTTTAAAATATAGTCTTCCTTAATGAGACCTTTAGCTTTGAGATTTATCGAGGGAAGCAGCTTCCCTTTGCAACTACAACTACTACGTCACAGCCATCCTGACATCTGACAGAAAATTGTTAGTTTCTTACCTCTGAGAAATTAACAGCCAAGGGAATGATGCCAGCCACGTAACATCCCACCAACATAGCCAGAGACAGCAGGCTAATGGAGATGAAATCATCCATTTTGCCCTCCTTTATTCACCCACCACCACTTGACAACAAATTTCCAGTGGGTTTAAAGGGTGCTTAGGTTCTTTAAACACGTGTGGTGGTGGTGCAAAGAGAGTGGGCTTTCCAGTTCTTTAGGACTTCCCACCAGCAGATGTGTTCACGAGGCACCTTTCTCTTGAAAGTACCTGGAAACAGATCCTTTTTGCTAATATTAGCACCAGAGAAAGCTTCCAGCAATCTAAGGTCCCAGGCTCTGGGTTCTCAGATGCCAGTCACAGATTCTCGTGGGTTAATAGAGATGGAAAAAGTCAATGGGGAAAATGTGCGAATGATCAATTTCTTCAATTGTCGGAATGAGGGTGGCACAACGTCTTAGGCTACAGCGGGTAAGTAACCCAAGCGAACCTGTTCGTTCCCTAAACGCCCCAGACTCCAAGAGGCGGCCCCGCAGGTGATCCGCCCCCCAGGGCAGGAAACCAGCCCACCAGTCCCAGCAAACTCTCCTCCGAGCCTGGGATGAGGAAAGGAGTCCTGCACGTCTCTAACGATGGGTCCTAGGGGTTCAGCAGCAAAGTTGACCCAAAGCTGTCTCTGCCCTATACCCGGTGCTGCCCATGGTACTCCACTCCGCCGGGCCTTGACCCGGAGTCGCCGATACTACAGCGGCCATGGCCGCCAAGTGGCACCTCTTCTTTCCATCCACTTCCGGATTGTCTCACCGCCCCCTCCTTTACAAGGGCACTTCCGGGTTACAACCGACCTCTAGGCCGGGATACTTACACTGCCGCCATTTTTGAGTAGGGCTAATGAAAGGTGACTGATGTCACTGTCTACACCGGTGATCACTTGAGGCGTATGTTTAATAACGAAAGAACGGAAGACAGCATCTTGAAAAAAAAATTCTTTCTAAAGCTAGGAAACTTTCCCCTACTTACCTTTTTGCCTTTATCGAAGATGGCTGAAACAGAGTCAGTATCTGCTCTAGCTACCGGAAGTGACTGTGCCTCTATGATCCAAAAGGCACTTTTGCGTTGCACTGCCGACGACTTCCGGCGGCTTCTCTCGCGGGGATTGGCTGTTAGCGGCGTTGTGGCTAAGCTCGTGTAGTGGCGGCGGTTTCTGCAGCGGCTGCAGCGAAGAGACTTTGGCGCTATGGTAAGAAAGGCCTCCGTGGCTACCCAAGTCTGAGTCCCCAGCCTCCAGGGCGACCCTAGCCCCATACATTTGCCTTTCCTCACGAGCCCCATACAGGGCGGCGTGATGCTCTCTGCCGCTCTTGTCTGTGGATGGATCTTTCTTCCCGCCGCGGAGACGCCAGGCCTGACTGACTGTAGGCCCCGGAACCCTGGTCCGCCCTGTGGTTGCGCGCCCGCCTGCTCGCTTGGGTCATGAGTGCTTTGGGCCTGAGGATGCGCTCTCTCCCGATTGCTACTCGGTAGAGGGAGGCGTGGGGATGGTGCTTTTTTCTTTTTTTTTTTTTAAGACCGAGTCTCACTCTGTCGCCCAAACTGAGTTCAGTGGCGCGGTCTCAGCTCACTGCAGTCTACGCCTCTCGGGTTCAAGCAGTTTTCCTGCCTCGGCCTCCCTAGTAGCTGGGATTACAGGCGCCCTCCACCTCGCCCTGCTAATTTTTGTATTTTAGTAGAGACTAGGTTTCACCATGTTAGCCAGGCTGGTCTCAAGCTCCTGACCTCAAGCAGTCCACCCACCTCGGCCTCCCAAGTGCTGGGATTACAGGCGTGAGCCACCGCGCCCGGCCGGGGATGGTTCTTTTTCCCTCCAAATGCTGTGGCCTGTTGTAGGAACAATGGGCTAGGGTTGTCTAACCTTTTCTCAAAGCTGACAGATCCAGCTTACTACACCCAGCATGTTTATTTTTTTGTAGAGACAGGGTCTTGTTTGTTGCCCAGGCTGGCCTCCAGGGATTTTTTCCCCCCTCAGCCTCCCAGAGGACGAGGATTACAGGCATGAGATACCATGCCTGTAGTTACATTTGAATAACTAGCAATCATTATTACATCACAAACGGGGATTTTTTTTAAATCATACTATGAATTTCTCAAACAGTAACTTATATCGAAATCGTGTTTTCCCCCTGCAGTCTCACACTATTTTGCTGGTGCAGCCTACCAAGAGGCCAGAAGGCAGAACTTATGCAGACTACGAATCTGTGAATGAATGCATGGAAGGTGAGTTTAACACTAATCAAGGGATAGAAAAATGTCTCATTTAGGAACTGGGTTTTCCCCCTCCAAATTTCTTTCTTTCTTTCTTTTTTTTTAATAGTCCACCCCAGGCCCTGCCCTCATCACTTCTGACCTCCAAATTTCTTAAATTGCCAATTTTAAGAGGGAAACTAGATATTTAGGCTGGATCATAGTTGCTGAAAATATTATTTATTTATTTATTATTTGAGACAGAGTCTCACTCTGTCACCCAGTCTGGAGTAAAGTAATGTGATCTTGGCCCACTGCAACCTCCACCCCCCCAGGTTCACATGATTCCTGTACTTCAGCCTGCCAAGTAGCTGGGACTACACAGTCACTTGCCACCACACCCAGCTAATTGTTTGTGTATTTAGTAGAGACAGGGTTTCACCATGTTGGGCAGGCTGGTCTAGAACTCCTGACCTCAAGTGATCTGCCCACCTTGGCCTGTTTATTTTTGAACATTTTAAACATTAATTATGTGCATATTATCCTCCTTGCTGCAAGTATTAGGGTTTTTTTTAATTAAACTAATGTATATAATGAATGACTTTCCAGAGCTTCTCATTGTTTTATAAATATTGTCTTACTGTTTGTCACATGTTAGTTTGTTATAATATGGAAATATTTTACAGGTATTCCTTATACTGGTTAAACCCATGTACTATAGAATTGTGTGTTTGTTTTTAATAAATTGTTTTAATAGATTTAAGGAATACCAGTGCAGTCTTCTGCACTTATATAGATGCATTGCGTAGTAGTAAAGTCTGGGCCCCTTTTTTTTTTCCTTAACAGACAGGGTCTCGCTCTGTCATCCAGGCTGGGGTGCATTGGTGATCATGGCTTATTGCAGCCTCAGTTTCCTGGGCTCAAGCAGTCCTCTCGCCTCAGCCTCACAAGTAGCTGGGACTACAGGCACTTGGTACCACACCTGGCTAATTTTTTGTTTTTTTTATAGAGATGGTGTCACTGTATTGCACATGTTGGTCTCAAATGTCTAGCTTCAAGCAGTCCTCCTGCCTCAGCCTCCCAGAATTCTGGGATTACAAGTGTGAGCTGTCACACCCAACCAAGTCTGGGCTTTCAGTGTAACCATCACTTAGTGTACATTGTACCCAGTGGTGATTTCTCATCCCTCCCCATTCTCCCACCTTTTGTAGTCTCCAGTGTCTGTTATTCCACTCTGTCCGTATGTACACATTATTTAGCCCCCACCAATAAGTGAGAATGTCAGATATTTGACTTTCTCTTTCTGAGTTACTTCACTTGAGATAATGACCTCCAGTTTCATCTATGTTGCTGCAAAAGACATGGTTTTATTATTTTAATAGCTGAGTAGTATTTCATGGTGTGTGTGTATATATGTACATGTATACCACATTTCCTTTAGTCATCCACTGACGGACACTTAGGTTGAGTCCATGACTTTGCTGTTGTCTATAGTATTGCAGTAAACATATGAGTGCCAATGTCTTCGTTTTTGTTTTTTGAGACAGAGTCTCACTTTGTAGCCCAGGCTGGAGTGCAGTGGTCAGTCTCAGCTCACTGCAACTTCTGTCTCCTGGATTCAAGTGATTCTCCTTCCTCAGCCTCCTGCGCAGCTGGGACTACAGGTGTGTGTCACCATGCCCAGCTAATTTTTGTATTTTTAGTATGGCAGGGTTTCACCATGTTGGCCAGGCTAGTCTCTAACTTGTGGCTTCATGTGATCTTCCTGCCTGAGCCTCCCAAAGTGTTGGGATTACAGGTGTGAGCCACTGCACCTGCCCATTTTTTTTACTTTTTAATAATAGCTATTCTAATTGATGAAAGATGGTATCTCATTGTGGTTTTAATTTGCATTTCTCTGATGATTAGTTTGATGATCATTTTTTCATGTGTTAACCACTTCTTTTGAAAAATGTCTGCTTATATCCTTTGGCCACTTTTGAATGGAACCATTTGTTCTTTTCTGGTTGAGTTGTTTGAATGACTTAGATTCTAGATGCATAGTTTACAAATATTTTCTCCCATTTCTTTTTTTTTTTTTTGAGGTGGAGTCTCACTCTGTTGCCCAGACTGGAGTGCAGTGGTGCAACCACAGCTCACTGCAACCTCCGCCTCCCAGGTTCAAGTGATTCTCCTGCCTCGGACTCCCAAGTAGCTGGGATTACAGGTGTGTGCCACCACACCCAGCTGATTTTTATATTTTTAGTAGAGACTGGATTTCACCATGTTTGCCAGGCTGGTCTCGAACTCCTGACCACAGGTGAGAGCGACTGCACCCAGCCTACTTTTTTCTGTGGGGCTTAGAGTTTGGGCTCCTACTTTTAGGTCTTTGGTCTGTTTTAGGGATGTGTCCAACTTCATTCTTTCACATGTGGCTATCCAGTTGTCATAGGGCCATTTGTTGAAAAGAACATTCTTTCTTGAATTCTCATGCTTGTCAAAAAGCATTGACCATCAATGTGGGGGTTTGTTTCTAGACTCTCATTCCGTTGATCTATATACCTTTCCTTATGCCAGTACCACATTGTCTTGATTACAGTAGTTTCCTAGTAAGTTTTGAAATCAGGAAGTTTGAATCCTCCAGTGTTGTTGTTCTTCAAGATAATTTTGAGTTTCCTGGGTCTCCTGCATTTCTGTGTCAAGTTTAGGATTAGCTTGTTGGTTTTTGCAAAAGCAGCTTGGATTTGTATAAGAATTGCATCGAATCTGTAGATCATTTAGGGGAGTATTGCCATCAGGTCTTCCAACCCATGAACATGGGAATGTGTTCACACCTGTCATCCTAGGACTGTGGGAGGCCAAGGTGAGCGGATTGCTTGAGCCCAGGAGTTTGAGACTAGCCTGGGCAACGTGATGAAATCCCTGCTTTACAAAAAGTATAAAAATTAGCTGGGCATGGTGGCGCTAACTGTAGTCCCAGCTCCTTGGGAAGATCACTTGAACTTGAGAGGTCAAGTCAGCAGTGAGCTGTAATCAGGCCACTGCACTCCAGCCTGGGCGACAGAATGAGACCCTGTCTCAGGATTTAAAAAAAAAAAAAAAATTGTTCCGTGACATTTTATAGTGTAGCATGTACAAGTTGTGCATTTCTTTTATTATGTTACATTTATTTCTAAGAACTTTATTCTTTTTTATGCTGTTATAAATGAAGTTTTCTTAGTTTAATTTTCAGATTTGCTAAGGTGTAGAAACAGAATTTATTTTCATACACTGATCCTATATCCTGCACCCTTGCCGTACTCATTTTTTAATTCTAATAGGTTTCTTATTGTTTCCTTGGGATTTTCTATCTACAAGATAATGTAGATTATCTGCAAATAGTGATAGCTGTACTTCTTCCAATCTAAAGTCCTGTTTTCTCTTTTTCTTGCCTAATTGCCCGGCTAGAACTTCTATTACAACGTTGAATACAAGTAGCAACAGTAAATATTTTAGGATTCTTCCTAATCTTAGCAGTAAAGCATCCAGTCTTTAACCATTAAGTGTGATGGAGGCCAGGCGCAGTGGCTCACGCCTGTAATCCCAGCACTTTGGGAGGCTGAGGCAGGTAGATTACCTGCAGTCAGGACTTAGAGACCAGACTGGCCAACATGGTGAAACCCTCTCTCTACTAAAAATACAAAAATCAGCTAGGCATGGTGGCACACGCCTGTGATCCCAGCTATTCGGGAGGCTGAGGCAGGAGAGTCGCTTGAACCCGGGAGGCAGAGGCTGCAGTGAGCCAAGATTGCACCACTGCACTCCAGCCTGGGTGACAAGAGTGGAAATTCCGTCTTAAAAAAAAAAAGTATGATGCTAACTATGGGTCAATTCCTTTTAAGACATGTGAATTTATTTTCCTAGTTTTTTCTTTCCATTTATTAACTCATGTTTGATATTCTGTGATCACAGTGTAGTATGCCAGTAGCGATCAAAAACACTAAGATAGTTGTTTGATAGTTCTGTGGTTGAATAGTATTTTTATTAGGAAATTTAAAAGGTTAATTTGGAGCTAATAAAGGGCCTTTGTACTGTACACAGTATAGGACGTGTATTTGCTAGATAACTAGCATTTATGTCACTTATCCATTCATTGTGGTAGTCTTAAATAGTTGACAGCGGGGATAGACTGAAAAGATATATTCTCCTTTTGTGGGAATAAGAAAGGAGAATATCATTGAATAAAAACTTAATAGATAATGTACTCTATAGATAATTATAGTTAGTAATGTGGGCTTGCTATTAATGATTCTGCTCATCTTTTTTATTATTTTGAGTACTTACATGCTTGTTTGTGTGCTGATGCTTTATGTGCATTATTTCAAATAAACCTCACAATTCTATGAAGAGGCACTCTTAACTCTGTTTGACAGGTGTGGTTTAGGGAATGGAGTCATTTGTCCACGGTTTGACAGAAGCAGAGCTGGAACTCAAGTCTGTCTGCATCCATAGTCCAGGATTACTTGGACTTAAATTACCACATTGCTACAATAGAATGATTAAATAACCACATTAGAATAATCTCTTTCTTTGTTGCCAATTTCTAATGTGGTTTTTTTTTTTTTTTTTTTTTTGGCTTCAGAAAGAATTACTGACCCTTAGCTCCAATGGTTTGAAGTAATCATTTTATTATTAAGACACAAAATAGTTACACCACCATTGTGGTGAAGACTGGAGTGCAGTGATGCGGACATGGCTCACTGCAGCCTTGACCTCCAGGGCTCAAGTGATCCTCCCACCTCAGCTTCCCAAGTAGCTGGGACCACAGGCACATGCCATCATGCCTGGCTGAGTTTTAAATTTTTGTAGACATGAGGTCTCTCTATGTTGCCCAGGCAGGCTGGTCTTAAACTGCTAGGCTCAAGTGATCCTCCTGCTCAGCCTTCCAAAGTGCTGAGATTACAGGCATAAGCTACTGCACCCGGCCGGCTGAATTTATAAAAAACTATTTGCTAGTGGCAATAATCAAAAGCCATCAATCTACCATCTTTTCCCCAGCCCAACTTTATTAAAGTAAATATGATATCGACATATAGCACTACTCATATCTAGAAGTTTATGTGATTGTAAGATTTTGGTTTTTGTCCTATCCTTCCTTAGGCGTTTGTAAAATGTATGAAGAACATCTGAAAAGAATGAATCCCAACAGTCCTTCTATCACATATGACATCAGTCAGTTGTTTGATTTCATTGATGATCTGGCAGACCTCAGCTGCCTGGTGTAAGTATTAGCAAACATGTCTGTTATCTTGTGTTTTTTAATGTTTTTCTGTCTGTTTGAGGTGATTTATGGTATTGGGAGCTAACACATGCCTGACACTGATCTTTGCATTTGCATAATGTTTAGTAATTAATATTTCTCTTACAGAAATAAGATATTGGCAATATAAAGCCAAAGGCACAGAAAAAAAAGAACTTTGCTAATTGATATAGTTAGTATCCAGAAAGGATGCTAATTAAGAAGTTCCATGTCCCTGTTCTTTGTTCCTTATACCTAATAATTTTTTCCCCTTTACAATTTTTGTCCTTAAGCCATTGTTTTTGGATTAAAACTAAGATTGTCTTTTTTTCATGACATTTCAAAACCTTAAATGTGTGTAGGGCTGAAATTGAACTTAATTTTAATCCTAGCCTGTATAAATACGTACATTTTGGTATGTTAGAATGAGAATGTTGAATATAGTTGTTATAGTTTGTATTGATAATCTGCTTCTGACAACTACTAACAAGGAGCATAAAGTATTATTATATAATTACCTAATCTTTTTTACATTAGCAAATAGAAACTGAGTGTAAATACAGCTCATTTAACTGATGAAAATGGAGGCTCCTTATGATACAGTGCTCAATCACCAGATGCTTGAATCCTTACTACATGCCAGGTGCTGTGCTAGAAGGTGAAAGAACAGTGATGAGAAACGTACTCCTAGGCACTTCCTGGATCACCGCTGGAACAGTCCTAGAATGTGGCTGCACCGTGCAGTCTCCCCAAAAGTTCTAAAACTTGCATTTCCTTGGGATGTTTGAGTTTGGTTTTCTGCACCTCTTCATTGTGTTCCAGTTGCATCCATTTCACTTTGGTCACTCAGAACATTCAAATGAATGTTGCATGGTACTTTAAGCCATGCAGGCATCTAAAGGAAAAACATACCAGACAGGGGAATGGGGGACAGCTAGTGTAGAGGTCCTGAAGTAGGAGTGCCTGCCATGTTTGAAGTCATTAAGGAAGACTTTGATGCTGCAGAGGAATGAGTGAAGGAGAGAATCTTAAGAGATTGGAGGGGCAAAGAGCAACGATATCCTGGAAGCCAGTGCAGAAGTGTTTCATACTATTGATAGGTCAGAGAAGTGAGGACTGAGAATTTAATTGACCCCTAGATTTGACACTGTGGAAGTCTTTGGTGACTTCCAAAACAGTTGTGGTAGAGTGGCAAGAGTAAAATGCTTAGATTTCAGTGAATTGAAGGGAATGAAAAGAGAGGATTTATAGGTGGCCCATACAGCATTTTTTTTTTTTTTTTTGCTTGAAAGAACAGAGAAATGGGGTTGTAGCTGGAGAAGGAAATTGCTTTTTTAAGGTGGGGAAAATAATGGTAAGTTTGCAGGCTGACGGGATGATCTGCTAAATGAGAAATTGATAGCTCAGACTGGCTCTTGGTCAGTTCATTCATAAAAAAGGGAGGACAGGCAAATTTGGGGGCTGGGGGAATTATCTTCAGTTATCTGAAATATGCTTCAATTATCTCAGATAGGGAGCAAGGACACCATTTGAAACTGAGGTGTTACAGGTTTGTGGAAAAGTAAGAAATAAGCTAGGAAGGTGAAAGAATTAGGAAACTAATTATTTCAGGGATGTATTAAGTGTCCTCCAAAGTACCTACCTGATAATCATTTAAAGTGGAATCAGTCATTGTGATCATGGGATTTTTTTCCTAGTCTTTCTCACCTATATGGCTACAAGGGAGGAGTAGGTAGAGAGTAAAGATTTAGCTAAAGATTGAAGGCTTATATGAAGATAACAGCAAGGGACTGCATGACCATGGGCTTTGGGGGTGTAGGAAGAGGTGCTAGAGACAGAGGTAGATCTGTTCATTACAGATCCCACTGGATCAAGGATTGCTCAAATTAGAATATTAAGAAGGTAGTGAACAGAGAATGACGTACTTGAAAATAGGAAATTGAAATTGTTGGTAATGACAAGGTCTAGGAATCTGGCCAAGAGAAGGTGGGAATATGAGATCATTAGAGGAAAAGAGTTCATGGAATTGGGAGGCCTAGGTGTTGACAAAATCATCCACTCAATGAAATTATTGATGTGTATATTAATTGCTAGAATTTAAAAGCAAGTTGCTTTGCTTTTTGTTCACTGCTGCATCTCTGGTTCATAGTTGGTGCTGAGTAAATATTGGTCATATAAATGCACGTCCACCTGTGTGTATTATAAAAGAAACTTACTGAAGCATTCAGGATCTAATCCTGATGCTTTTGGGATGTTGTACTTAAACCCAGTAAGTGGGAAGTTAACTTGAAGTCGTGGATCATGTTTTACTCATCTTGGGGGGCTGTGTTTAAGAGCTAGCTGGAGCATCAGAATTAGACATAGCTGGGTTTGAATCCTGGCTCTACCATTTGCTAGCGCCCTTCGACAAGGCAGCTTGATATTGCACTCGTTTGTAAAAATTCAGACAAATCTAGTTCACCGGACTCCTTGTGAGGATCAAGTGCTTGCTGAGCACAGCAGTATTAGATTATGCAGCAACTCCATTTTCAACTGGATAGAAAGTCAGGATGAAGTTTTATTTTTAATTACAAGCATGTTCTTATTTGCCAGGAGCAGAATGATATGAATTTTAATTTCTACAAGTGAGATAAATTGTTAATTTCAACTGGGATTTAGAAGGTATTCGGGTTTTTTCAACAATATGAAAATTGCACAAAGTAAAACAGTTACAAGTGACATGTTAATGACATACAAGTATGTCATTAGTGATACAACATAACTTTTCTATCTTTGTACTAGACTTTATAAAAAAAATTTTAGAGAGGATCTCACTGTGTTACCCACGCTGGTCTCAAACTTCTGGGCTCAAGTGATCCTCCTGCCTCAGCCTCCCCAAGGGGTTAGATTATAGGCATGAGCAACTGTGCCTGGCCTAGACTTTAAAGTGTAAACTAGAACAATATCTAGCATACTAAACTGATTTTTAATATAATACTTGCTATTTTAAAGCAAAATAGAGGGAAAGCTTTAATTATTACCTAGATAATTCTTCCCACCTACAGTGGTTCCAGAAATATAGAAGAAAGATTAATGATAATTTATGGTTTTTAATAGTTTCAGAAAGACTGTTAAAAATCATAAATTATCATTAATCTCTCTTTTATAAATAGCTTGGAAACCTGTATCTATGTTGTTTCTAATGTTGAAAATTTTTTAGAACAGAAAATCAAACACTGCATGTTCTCACTCATAGGTGGGTGTTGAACAGTGAGAACACATGGACACAGGGAGGGGGGCATCACACACTGGGATCTGTCGGCGGGGGGAATAGGGGAGGGACATGGGGGGCGGGTGAGGAGTTGGAGAGAGTTAGCATGGGGAGAAATGCCAGATATAGGTGATGGGGAGGAAGACAGCAAATCACACTGCCATGTATGTACCTATTCAACAATCTTGCATGTTCTTCACATGTACCCCAAAACCTAAAATGCAATTTAAAAAAAACTTTATAAGAAATTCATCTAAAAAAAGAAAGAAAGAAAATTTTTTGGCCTCTGGAAAACTTTCAGAATCAAATTTAGGACTTAAAACTATTTTTCCCAGGTGACTTTGGTTATGCCTTTTTGTTATTTGAATATTCAGGAGAAATAAGGTATTGCTTTCAAAGAGGTTACCCACTGCCACAACACATCCTGTGACAGCATGTCCTCTCCTCTCTTTCATTAAGAACTGGGATTTGTGCTGCTACTCCTAAGACCAGAGATTGGGTCCATTTTTTTGGTAGTCAGTATACATTTTTTCAGTTTTCTGATCTGTACTTTTTTTAAATAAGCTTTTTGTAAGATGAAAATAATGTCCTGTTGATTATGCAGGATTTCCTTGTTTGCTTAGAGACATAAAGGGCATTTTCACCCTCAGTAGTTATAATGATGAGAGAGATTCCTGATCAGTAAGAGAAGTTGGTATCACTGAAGATGCTGCTGATTTCACTGCCCAGACCCACAGCTTCTGTTAAATAAACCTACATTCATTCACTATCACAATAGGTTAAAAGATTCATCTGTGCCAACGACTACGCATTTTATTAAAGTATTTAACATTTAATTATCTCATTTTCTTTTCTTTTTTTTTTTTTTTTTTTTTTTGAGACGGGAGTTTCGCTCCTGTTACCCAGGCTGGAGTGCAATGGCGCGATCTCAGCTCACCTCAACCTCCGCCTCCTAGGTTCAGGCAATTCTCCTGCCTCAGCCTCTGAGTAGCTGGGATTACAGACACCATGCCCAGCTAATTTTTGTATTTTTAGTAGAGACGGGGTTTCACCATGTTGACCAGGATGGTCAATCTCTTGACCTCGTGATTCACCCGCCTCGGCCTCCCAAAGTGCTGGGATTACAGGCGTGAGCCACCGCGCCCGGCCAATGATCTCATTTTCAAGTGCTAGTTAACAGCCATCAACACACAGTTTTCCATAAAGAAGGCATTATTACTACTTTATGAGTTGGAAATTTGCATGCAAGTTGATGGATCACTAAATGTTCACAAACCAGAGTGATTTTTGTTGGGGGGAATGGAATAAATAAAGCCAGTCCCACCCAGATATGATAATCTGAGAAAATTTCCTTTTTAAGTTCTTTTCCAGTGTTAATATAAATGTTAGTCTCTTCTAACACATTTTGCAGTAAACTAGCTTACAGCTTATTTAATTAGGAAGCATGGACAAAGGATTTTCAGAGAAAATTAGTTTACATTTTAGAATGTTTCTTTTTATTTGGTTAAGTATTTTTAAAAATGGGAATCTTGTACATTTTTAATAAACCAGATTGTGACCTTATTGTTCAGAGGAAGAATGTGATGTTAATTGTATAAAGCATTCCTACTTTAGAATTTATTTCCCTTGCCAAAAATTTTAATGCAGGTTTCTAACTTAGTAATTAACAATGAGGACTCTGCAGTAGTTACTTAGCTAATTAAGTTGCTTTACATTTTCAAGCCTTGGTTCCCTCATGAAAAAGGGTGCCAGGTGCCTGTAATCCCAGCACTTTGGGAGGCCGAGGCGGGTGGATCCTTGAGGTTAGGAGTCCAAGACCAGCCTTGCCAACATAGTGAAACCTCGTCTCTACTAAAAATACAAAAAAGTAGCCGGGCATGGTGGTGCACAACTATAGTCCCAGCTACTCAGGAGGCTGAGGCAGGAGAAGCATGTGGACCCGGGTGGTGAGGTTACAGTGAGCTGAGATGGTACCACTGCACTCCAGACTGACTGACAGCTAGACTCTGTCTCAAAAAAAGGGGAAGGGGATAATTGTACCTAGTCACAGGGTTGTAAAAATGAGTTAATTCAGTTAAGAATTTAAAGCAACACCTAGTACTTCGTAACATCTTATTTTACTCACAGTCTCATTGGAGTTTTACTGCTACTGCTAATCTGTGTACTCCTTGCCCTTCTGATTAGAGATATTTTGGAGCTTGCTGTCTTCTGATAATTCTTTTCCATCGGCCTCTAGCATACAGGTTATATGATTTCCTTAATGCTTTACAGGGGGAGGGAAGTCAGCAAAAAATCTTTGTTGCCAGTAACATGTTTTTTAAAGTTTTCTTAGTTAATTCAAAATAAACTTTGCAAATCTAAAGTTTGTACTAGTGTTTTTGATTTTTTTTTTTTTCATTTGAGACAGAGTCTCTGTCTCCCAGGCAGGACTGCAGTAGTGAGATATTGGCTCACTGCAACCTCCACTGGTTGAAGTGATTCTCTTACCTCAGTCTCCTAAACAGCCAAGACTATAGGCACACGCCACCATGCCCACCTAATTTTTGTATCTTAGTAGAGATGAGGTTTCACCATGTTGGCCAGGCTGGTCTTGAACTCCTGACCTCAGGTGATCCACCCACGTTGGCTTCCCAAAGTGCTGGGATTATAGGCATGAGCCATCGCATCCAGCCGGTTTTTTGTTGTTGTTGTTCAATCACTAAAGGAACCATAAAAATGGAAACTAGGTAGCAGAAAGAACACATGGTTTCTGGTCATACTCTGTCAAGAATCAGATATGTAACATATTGGACATGTAACTTAAAAGTTCTAAGTCATGCTTTCTTTTTCCACTGTAAGATTATACAAAGTGATATAAAGTTTATATCACTTAAAATTTAATGGCTGTGTAGGTAGCTCTTTCAATTTCTCATTAAATTCGTTTTTGGAAATGTACACATCTGTGCCATCATTGGGTGGTTATAATTTGGGAATTTAAACACCTGACAGTGATTGACCACTGTGACTTTGCTTATTGCCTTTCTCTCCTCAGTTACCGGGCTGATACCCAGACATACCAGCCTTATAACAAAGACTGGATTAAAGAGAAGATCTACGTGCTCCTTCGTCGGCAGGCCCAACAAGCTGGGAAATAATTGTGTTGGAAGCATTACGGGGGATGGGGGTGGGCTTGGAACACAGGTGTGTACAGCGTGCTGTAGTGGAAGTTTTGTATCATAGTAATCCTGTTTCCACTTTGTTATACTCTAGCCAAGATTGACTGTGTTAGATGAAATGTGAGGATTTGTTCAATCAGAAACCCCCATTGCCCCCTCTTTTTTTTCTTTGTTTCTTTTTTTTTTTTTTACTTAAACATTTTTATGATGATTTAGATGAAAGTTGTACTTTGTCAGTTAATTTTGGTTCCAGTCCTTCAGCTAGCTTTTCATATCTACTTTATAACATTCACTATACTAACTCTTCTTCAAGATGGGGTGGGGGAGGAAATGCAGTTTAGCCATGTCCTCAAGATAAAGTCTTGGTAAAAATAAATAAATGTCCTTTAGTTATATTTTCTCCTTGAGTGTTTTCTTTTTTTTTTTTTTGTCTTTGAACATTGAATTTTCTTGCAAAGCATCTTTTCATTGTAAGTTTTTGAATGAAAGAATTTGAAGAAAGTTTAAGTAATGCGTAACATATTTTGCTGTGATTTATGTGAAGCTAATATACTTTTACATCACTGTTTCAGCATAATTAAATGAAACTTAATTATAGCTCCAAGGTTTGTACCCACTATTGATGCAAACATTATAAATGACTTTCTAGTGATATAACTTGTCTGCAGTAGTAACAGACAGATTAACTTCTTAGCATTGATCAAATCAAGTACTTTTTTTTTTGAGACGGAGTCTCGCTCTGTAGCCCAGGCTGGAGTGCAGTGGCGCAATCTCGGCTCATTGCAACCTCTGTCTCCCAGGTTCTTGTAATTCTGCCTCAGCCTCCCAAGTAGCTGGGACTACAGGCGCGTGCCGCCACACGCTGCTAATTTTTTTTGCGTATTTTAGTAGAGATGGGGTTTCACCGTGTTGCCCAGGCTGGTCTCAAACTCCTGAGCTCAGGCAATCCTGCCTGCCTCAGCCTCCCAAAGTGCCAGGATTACAGGTGTGAGCCACCGCGCCTGGCCATCCAAATCAGTAACTCTTTCTAGGAGTTCTGTGTACCCTTTTCAGAGCCTTCAGCTGAATACTAATTACCTATAAGGGCAAGGGAAAGACCACAAAAAATTATAAGATAGTCTTGTCTCTTTGGTTTTTCGTTTTTGTTTTTTGAGACAGTCTCACTCTGTCACCCAGTCTGGGGTGTACTTCCAATCATGTCAATCGTGTACTTTAAATCAGCAAGTATATGAGCACTCTGATTCTGGTATTATCACTTTACCAACAGCCAGTGATATCTTGACACAGCATAAGATTGAAAGTTTTTTTGGAAGGCTCATGATTGGTCTAATATCCCCTGTTCCTGCCCCTACTTGGACATTAGGGCCTTAACTATTTTTTTGTTGTTGTATGCAAGACAAAATTCTAGCGAGAACATAGTCATATGTGCTCAGTTTTTCCATAGAATAATCCTGTTAATGAAATCACTGTACCAAGAGATTATTAAAATTTTAGGGTACCTGACTAAATTAAATATAGTTGTACTCAATGTTTCATTGTGAAACCAACCAAATTTTAAAGCTAAAATAGGCCAGGTGCAGTGGCTCAGGCCTGTAATCCCAGCACTTTGGGAGGTCAAGGCAGGCAGATCACTTGAGGTCAGGAGTTCAAGATCAGCCTGACCAACATGGTGAAACTCTAACTCCACTAAAATTGCAAAGCTTAGTCTGGCACAGTGGCACATGCCTGTACTATCCCAGCTACTTAGGAGGCTGAGGCAGGAGGATCCTTTGAACCAGGGAAGCAGATAAGCTGAGATGGCACCACTGTACTCCAGCCTGGGTGACAGAATGAGAATCTATCTCAGAAAATAAATAAATAAAGCTAAAATAATCTCACAGAAAAAAACAATAGATTCAAAAGTAATCTGACTGTCCTGTCTTTCATTTGGCCTGTCCTGCTATTTATTTCTTTAACAAATATAGAGAATCTTTGGCTTCATCTTTTTTGTTTTGTTTTTGGAAAAATACTGTAGAGCAGATCTAAAGGGAATGGAATGTAGTACCATTTCTGGTGTTGGGCTTACAGAGGAAAACATGAGAAAGGAATGTGAGAAAATATCTGGATACTTTTTTGTTGGGTGATGAGAACAAAAAGAAGTGGAGCCATTTTTGGAATCATTAAAAGCTTTAAGGAAGAATAGAACTGTAATAAATACAGAGAAAAAGACATTTGTCTATGTCCCATAATACACAGAAAAAGAGCCTAAAGTAGGCTTTTTGTGAAGGTGGAATGTGCAATGAAAGTTTCTGTGGTTTGGCCTAGCTACAACCACTGGCCTTGTGTTAGAGATTTAGAGTATTGATTGATTGGCCTTTCCCCAACCGCAAGTAAAACAGGTTTGATTTCTGCTTATTAAATTATATTTTATACTGCTACCTACAGATGAAACCTATCAGACAGATTATAAAATTCCTGCTTCTCTAATGTACCTTTTATACACCTGAACATTTCTAAAATATTTCTTGATAATGGCCATTTCTGTCCTTTAGTGCTTGATTGAAGAGGTCCCAGGAGTATAAAAGGGAGAGTTCAATGATCTCACTTCACTTCTAGTTCTCTGGCTTAAAATATTTCCAGCAACTTACTAAATGCTCAAACAAGTATGTATCTTAACTCCCATTGTTTGGGATAGAAGTAGTAGTGAACTGTTTTACTTTCAGCAAGAGAATGACTTAAGGGATGAGCAAACAATTTTGTACTGTCCTAAAAGCAGACCAGACTGGGTTAGCGGGGAGAGGACAAGGTAGTTTTCTCAGTATGATGTCAACTTTACATCAGGATGGTCGTCCTATATCAAATTGTTTTAACTAATCATTTGAAGGTTGGAATGAAAATCAGGATTAATACATGAATTTTAAAATAAATTTTACTGTATTTGTAGGGATATTTCTATGTTTATGTTAATTTAATTAATTTTTTTTTTTAAGACAGTCTCACTCTGTCACCCAGGCTGTAGTGGAGTGGTGCAATCACAGCTCACTGCAGCTCAACCTCCCAGGCTCAGGTGATCCACCTTAGTCTCCTGTGTAGCTGTGATTACAGGTGCTTGCCACCATGGCCAGCTTATTTTTTAAATTATTTTTTGTAGAGATGGGGTCTCCTTATGTTGCCCAGGCTGGTCTTGAGATCCTGGACTCAAGTGGCCCACCTGTCTTGGCTTCCCAAAGTGTTGGGATTACAGCCATGGGCCACTGCACTCAACCTAGGAATACTTCTTAAAGAAGAAATATTAATTTATATGTTAGCATAATGATACTAATATTGCCACTTAGACATAGCATTTTGCTGCCTAGGAAATATTTCTACATCTTTCTCATCATACCAACTCTTTGAGATAGGAAAAATTTATATCTCCATTAATGGTTTAAAAAAAAATTAGATTGCCTAAGTGATTCATCCAGATCACAAAGCAGTACCAAAATTGTGCTAGATGAAAAAGACAAGGTTTTAACCTCAAAGATCCTGAAGGGGAGCCCCATAAAATGAATAGCTATGCTAAATAGTGGATCTCAAATTCTTGTCAAAGGGACATTTTTAGATTCAATCAAATATTTGGTTTCACAAGACCTGAAGAGGTCACACTTGGCACCAATTTAGTTAAAAGCACATGGGACACAGAAAACAGCTTGCCAGCCCGGCATCATCAAGTGTTTCTCTTCTGGGAGAGTAGTCCTCTGGTGGTTCACACAGCCTTCCAAGAATTATCCTCTGAACACATGGAAACACGCAACAGCTCAGATACAAGAGATAAGAGTAAGTGCAAGAGCTACCCCGACCTAGAAGCTTCATGTATAACAGGAGCCACTATCTCTTATAATAGCTTCATGAACATAGTTTCTAGGTCCCTGCAAGGAGTATGCCCCATTTACAAGAATCATTTTATTCAGAGAACCACAAGGCCATGTCTACCCATCAGGTATACTGTTTCTCCCAGTCTAGGTGTAATTTACCACATAGGGGCCATGTTTCTCATGAGCAATCTTATCTAGTAATACATTGCACCATTATGTTTCCTCAGGAACAGAGCTGTGAAGTTAACCCGGGTTGACCTTGGCTCAGTGTAGTACCTAATGGTGCAATGTATTACTAAACAAGAGACTGATGGAATGATTAACCTCGGAAGAAAAAGTGACATGGAAAGTTGAAAGGGTTTGTGTTTAATGGTCTTAACCCATTAAACGGGTAAAATGAGTTACTATCTTGGAGGAAAGGAGGCTGGGCTAGAACGGGGAGTCAGAAGAACAATTCTCAGAGCTCATGCAGGGTGGGGAAACATACAAGTTCTGACCACTAGAGTCCTGTGTCACCAAACTAAGGGATTCACTGGAGCCTCCAAAAGTCTTACACTTTTTAATAAGACCAATAAAGGTCCCTTAAATGAAGCTATTATAGACTTAGCAAAGTTTAAAAATGGATCTTAGGCCAGGTGTGATGGCTCACACTTGTAATCCCAGCACTTTGGGAGGCTGAGGTGGGTGGATCATTTGAGGTCAGGAGTTTGAGACCAGCCTGGCCAACATGGTGAAACCCCTTCTCTACTAAAAATATAAAAATTAGCCAAGTGTGGTGGCAGGTGCCTGTAGTCCCAGCTACTCGGGAGGCTGAGGCAGGAGAATATCTTGAACTCGGGAGGCAGAGGTTCTAGTGAGCCCAGGTTGCGCCATTGCACTCCAGCCTGGGTGACAGAGCAAGACTGTCTCAAAAAACAAAAACAAAAATGACTTGGATCAAGTTGTATGCCAAAATAAAGTTTAACATTCAAAGGAAGGTAATAGCCAAACACTGAATTAAGTAACGTTCCCCAGTTCAGCATTTAAATTATTAGACATGCAAAGAAATAGAAAAATATGACTCATAACCAGAGACTAAAATCAACTAATAAAAGCTAACCCTGAAATGGCAGACAATGGAACTACCAAGGACATTAAAACAGCTATTATAAATATGTAGAAGTATTTAAAGGAAAGTTTGAACATATTAGGAGAGAACTAGATTTTTTTTTCTAACAAGTGGAATGTCTAGAGATGAAAAATACAATAACTGAAATAGAAAATTCACTGAATGGAGTTAGCAGATTACACACTGCAGAAAAAGCAGTAAACTTAAAGCTAGAACAATAGAAAGTTTAAAACGACAGCACAGAAAGAAGACTTGGCGGGGCGGGGGGAGGAAAGAACAGAGTTTTAGTGACCTGTAGGATAATAGTAAGTGGCCTAACATTATGTTATCTCAAAAATACGTATCTTGAAACAAAAAGTATGACAACAATAGTGTAAAGGACAGTGGAGGAAATGGAAATACATGGTTGAAATGTTTTTTAACATTTAACATGTTAAAATTTGGTGTCTCAAGA